ATCTCATTAATTTAATTTTAGGTGCCCACCAGTTTATATTTTACAGTCTGGAAGGCAATTTACTAACTGGCAATTACATACAGAATGATTGTTAATTCTGCTCCTAAGTGCTAGCTGCTTGAAAACTGTTACATCTCTCTCTAATTTCTGACCTTCTTACAACAAGGGTGAGGTACATTGGGAATAGCAAGGCCTAGCAGAGAAGAGCCGGACATGTCATTTGTGACTCATTCTTTTAATTCACCGTGCTAATCAACTGAACTGCCACAATCTCCCAAGGTAATTGTATCTTTACAATAGTTGAAAGCAGCAGGCTAAAAGGCATAGATAGATGGTGTAAGGGACCTTCCCATCCTTCTGAGAATCAGCACAGCGTTCTCTACACGTGGCTCGTGGAGTCTGGGATTGTGGCGTGTTTTAAATTGCCTTGTTTTATATCAAAGTACATGCATCATTTAAATGCCTCCACTTCTGTACTTTGGAAGCTCCTTTTGCACACTATACCCTTGTTTCGTTCTTCTGCAGCTTTATTACCCTTTGTTCCACCTCATGCTGAGAAGGTTAAATGTTAGAATGCCAAGCCAGACTGCAAGCATGGTGGGATACTGATGAGAACCAGATGCCCTGGAGATTCTAGCCCTCCCTCTTATGGGACGACATAATTTTCATATTGTGAAATACAGTGAAGTTTGGCTCAGTTTTCAGCGGTGAGTGTAATTTCCAATGATTATCTCATTGTCCCCATCAATTTCGGGGCAATACAAATCAGACTGAAGCTTCCAGGTCAGACAAGCTGTGACCCTTCCTCTTACTTTCTCTTAGCCATGTAGTACCTGAGACGTGTAGTAACTTGTAGCTTTTTTATTTTATTTGTAGGCCTCCAGAAAATTAATTGCAGCCAGAACGGTTTTAGTAACCTTGATTCTCTGAAATGTCATTCGTTCACATGTCCTATGACTTCTTGGCACAAAGAATACATTGACCAATATAAGAGTGTGGATTTTAAAACAGTGGCAAATTGTGAAAAATTGCCATTAAAAAGTTACTAAATTAATTAATTTCATCTGCTAAGACTGGATTCTCATTAGTACACGCAATAACGTCATTGGAACTTACTCATTTAGTTTGGAACGTATTAATTGCTGCTTTTAAAAACAAAACAGTCCTACACAAACATACGTACACACTACATATACAAACACATACACAAACATTGCTACTTAAATAGTAAACTGGGGGGGGAATTAAAATTATTGCGTAACAGTTTAGAACTTTTAGTATCACACTTGCAATATTACACTTCTAATCTATATTAAGTCTGCTGCAGAAATTATAGTGGAATGTTCTCTATTTCTCTCTCTCTCCCCCCTCCCTCTCTCTCTGTCATCATGTTGTCAACGTAACTATTTAAAAACTATAACAGCTAGATTATTTATTTAACTTTATCTTGGTCATTAACCAACACATAACAGTTAGGTTAAAAAGATCAAAATAAATGCATTATGATTTATCTTTACGGAACTTTTTCAATAATCTACTGTTGCTATTTTCTCATGAGGTTGCACAGAAGGCTTTCAGGTAACTTATGGTTAGTTTATTGCACCTTAGATACAGTCAGTGGTCGGTTCCTACTGGTTCGTACTGGTTTGGACAAATCGGTACTGGTATGGCGGCCTGGGTCGCTGGAACCAGCAATGATCCAAGTCTGCCATGCCCTATGTAAGAGCCACCTTCTTGTTTTTTAGTTCTGCACATGCACACAACAATTTTAATTGAACTGCGCATGTGCACGCAGAGTGCATCCAGTGTGTGCGAGCAAAGCATGTGCAAGTGAACTGGCAGTAAAGCTGGGCAGAACCCAACCTTGTATACAGTACATATGCATTTGAAGTCTAAGTTTCAGTCACTTCAGAAATCTTTTTAGAAATGTAGGATTTAACTAAAAGCTATGCGCAGACATTGGTTTCTAACCAGACTAATAGAGAAATGCTCCACCCTTTTGTATTTCCAGAATGAAATCACATGTGACTATGGAAGAGGCAAAATTTGCATCAAAGTGTTATCCTCCATAGCCATTTCTTGTTCCTTTGTGTAGACACCTACATGTATGATCGAGCAGCCATTAGCCATGATTTCCATGATATGCACTTAATACTTAGACAATTAGTATTTATCCTTATGCATATTTTTACCCATCATTTCTTTTAAATGTATGTTAAAACAACAATCACACACCATTTTATAATTAATTCCAAATCTTTTCAAATGGATCATTTAGCGGGTGGGGGAAAGTACCATTTCAATATGTATTCAAACTTAGCATTAGTTTAAGATGAATTATTGTAATCTATCTTGTGTATTTTTATTTGTCTTCTTATTCTAGTCCTACGCTTCATACAGAAACTATTTTTAATAAGTCTACCAACACTCTACAGGAATCATACGTATGATAAACAAATCAGCTTAGTTTTTCCCCTGGATTATGCATCCCAAAAATACATATTTGGCTTAAAGATGGGGCTAGCTACATGCCCCTATTGATGCCAAAGACTTTTCCCCCCAGATCTGGTACCCTAAAAAATATCCAACATGGCATCATCATAATCAATGATTACTTCCTTTATGTTGGGTATCTGTCCATTACATATGTCTCTGGTGCTCTTTTTACAGATTTTTATTCAATTCTTTATTTAAGAATTCTAATGAAATATTTAGAAATGGTTCTTGACAAAACACATTTCACAGAAGTTCTGACCAACTCTCTGATTTACTTTTTGAAAACTTAAAACATAATTTAAATACACATTAGTTAACATCATGCAGAATACTTCTCTTTTTCCACCGTATAAGTATTATCATTCCCATCCCTCCCTCTTCTCTCACACACATATACATAGTACATTTAAATTTTCTCATAAACCTCTTAAACTGGGATAAATCTATCAGAGGCAGTCCAATTAATCTGGATCAAGTGACTGGATAATTTAAAATATGTAAGTGACACTTTTTTCATATTTCCAACTCTATTGGAAATATAATTTTAAGTTTTACATATCCCAGTTTAATATTTCCCATGGCCATAGAAATCTTACTAATAAAAAATCTTTCTCCCACACACATACATACATACACAATTTACATAGGATCAGTACAACTTATAAACCATCATGTTCATTCTTGATTACATGTTCCTCCTGACAAAATTATCAGTAGAAATTATTACAATTTATTGCTACTTTTGGCTTTTTAATCTAGTATGCTCTTTAGACTTATTTTTAGAGGTAACAATAGTTTACATCAGTGACGTGCGGTGAGGTTTATGGCTGGTGAGGCAGTCCTCTCCCCCGACACCCCACTGACTAAAGCACTTTCTTTCGCCCGCCTGTGCTCGCGGTAGAGCTCGGGCGGGCTGCCGTGAGCTCAGGCGGGCAAAAGAAAGTGCTTTAGTCAGTGGGGTGTCGGGGGAGAGGACTGCCTCACCAGCCATAAACCTCACCGCACGTCACTGATGTAAACTATTGTTACCTCTAAAAATAAGTCTAAAGAGCATACTAGATTAAAAAGCCAAAAGTAGCAATAAATTGTAATAATTTCTACTGATAATTTTGTCAGGAGGAACATG